AATCACTCATATGATAAGCTCCGCTCGACAAAGTCGACAGCGGAGCTAAATATATGCAGTGTTACATAACATATCACCAAATATGTGTTTTATACTTGTTAGGTATTGCAAATTAAGTAAGTTTGGATAAGAATTTGAAAATGAAAAAAATACAGCTCATGTGTGTTTCACAGCATGCCAATATACTGTAAATTGCTTTAATTTTGCAAGAGATTTTTTGCCAATTTCATATTAAAAATCTGTGAAAATCATGAAATTTTGGAACATATTTTTTTCATGAATGCCATAAAATCATCAAATTTCAAAAATTCCTTGCAGTGAAAAATAAGCAGTCTACAGTAGATGTGTGATTATATATAATACATCAGATAGTTGAAGAAAAGAATACAATGAACAAAATGTTAGTTTAAAAACTGTTAATAAAGAGATTATCCATGCAAACATTTATTGAGTTTTATATTCTAACCTTGTTTTGTACATCCGCATATGATATTAGCAGAGGAAATATGTCTAATACTAATTGCTCTGCAAAGTTATAGCAGTTGTGAGCAGCTGCCAAATGCAGCATAGTGTTACCATCCTGTAATGAGTTATTTATAGAAAGATGTTGATTGGTTAAATGTGATTGGGTTAATTTGAATAATTTATGCAGTGATTTGCATATTATTATGAATGAAGGGCAGTGCAGTGCAGTGCAGCATTGTGTTACCATACTCACGGTTACTAAAAAATTTTTTTATTAAATGTGCCATACTGAAAGAGCGAGGCTATTTATTGAAAGATTTTGATTGGTTAAATGTGTCATATGATATGGTTAATTTGAATAATTTATGCAGTGTTTTGCTGTTGTGTCACCATCCTGAAATAACAAGGCTATTTATTGAAAGATTTTGATTGGTTAAATGTGTCACATGATATGGTTAATTTGAATAATTTATGCAGGGATTTGTATATTGAAGGTACCGTAACAAGGTTTGGAAGGTTTGGTTTGGTTGATTCAAGTCGATCAGTTCACATCTATCTGGTCAGGTAAATTCAAGTCAGGTTTGTGGTGCTATTAAACATTTTTTTAATTATTTTTTCCATTTTTTGTTCATCTGTGAGTGAAAAAAATCATTCAATAGAAAAAAATGCTTGTGTGTCTGCAAATGTTTTCATTAGTAACCACATCCTTGGTTTTTTTTGGTCAGATCGTGTCAGTTCAGGTCAAGTTGGGTCACTTCATTTCAGGACAGGTCAGGCACAGATGTGTTTATAATAAAACTGACAGCAGGACTCATATCGCATGGGAATATAGATGTTAATGACAGAAAAAAAAACTTGTACCTTATTTTCTGAATCAATTCTTGCATGATGTTTAACCAAGAGTTCAGCCACATGTTCATGTCCATGGACGACTGCTAAGTGAAGAGGTGTTTGATCATGCTGAAATGGAAATATTCAAAAACAATCACATTTTAATGTTTGTTAATGTTTATAATACTGTAAAATACTTTATTTTAGCTGGAATTAATTTTCTCTTAAAAGACTTTTTTGGGTGTTTTGTATGGAATTTATTTTCACTGAATTTTGACATAGGAAGTAAGGTATATTCGCTGGATTTTATTTTCACTGAATCATTCCTTCAGCAAAGTAAAGTATTTTACAGTACCTTTTGTAACTGAGAAGTAATGTTAATTTAAAGGTTTGTATATAAATGGAAGTGACTTTAGGAGAAATTTTGATAAGATTAGAATGTGCTGACTGTGCTTATCAGCATTTATGTTTTAAGCTTATTATGGTTGAATCAGAAAATCATTAAGCAAGCAATTAGAATATCTTTGATAAAAATAAATAAAAATATAAGTCAACAGCTATAACATACCATATCATTTCTGACCTCTACATTAGCACCACAGTTTATAAGCACTTTACATGTCTGAATATGACCATGGAGAGCAGCTCTGTGTAATGGTGTGTAGCCATACTGTTAATAAAACAATACAATGTATCAATTAGTGAACATTATGTGTTCAATTCAACATCCAATCAAGTAACAAAGTAATGTGTCTTCTGTACATGCATTGCATTATGTGGAAAAGACTATATAAACAGACCTGCATCATATCTACTATTACCGGTAATCACAAGATGCTTGATAATGAATAGTAATTGCCAATTAAACCTCATTTGAGGGCAACGTGTTACCGGTATATCATGTTATCCTATTTACTCTCTCCAACAGAAGCACACATCTGCAAAAATTGGGTTTATTGTGTACTGTATCCTTAACATACAAGACTTATTTTGTGACATAAGATCATGTATTACTATCATACTCGTCTGAATTAATGCCCACCCCACTAGAACAGGAGTGTACCCTGGGTGCAATATATTTCAGCTATTAAATATACCCCACCATGAAAATAATGAAAAGTTGAAATTATCATGTTTCATTTGAGTGAACATCTAATACAAGATCAGATATTATTTCTATTGGCCAAATAATAAATAGTATTCAAATTCTTCATTTATAATATTGTTTAATACCTTGTCTTGGGCATCTATATATGCATCATACTTCAGAAGGACATCAGTAGTTTCGTCATGGTTACTATTGGCAGCAATATGTAGTGGTGTCGCCCCATGCTGTAATTAGACAGCAAATAACAGATTATACAACAAACCCATAACTGTTACAAAGGTGGAATTGACAGTTGTCCTGGACAACCACATTTACCAGATATTTTTTTAAGTCTAATTAATCTTTGCAACATCGGTGCCTATGCCAAGTAACGCAATCATCAACCACAGAACTAAAAATAAGACTCAGATTTTGTAGAAGTCTTCAGTCAAAATTGA